ATTTTCGCGCGATTTTCGAACGGGAAGTTTAGTCCTAACGTGATTTGCATATATCAAACTTTTGCTGTGTTCTTACGCAACAAAAGTACCATTTCAGTTCTAAAAAATCTATCCTGAGCTATACGTTCGGTAGATTACTTTTTTTTGAGTTTCACTATATTTAATAGTTACCTGTGGTTTTGCCTCAGCTTACTATTCGGTTTTTTTTGTTTTTCACGTATAGACTAGTTTCAGTTTATATCACTCGTTTTGTCCGTTTTTGTCCGTTTTCAGTGTGCATTTTAGTGTTTTTTTTAAAAGGTCTTAAGCTTTGCCAGCATCTATAACATAGTTTGCTTCAACACCGTCATGAAAAACTCATGCAAACGTCCGGGATGCCGTTTTGCTGTCACAACTGGCATGCAGTGTGACAACTGCAAAGGTTGGTTTCACGAAGCATGCACAAATCTGACAGCAACTGCTTACAACAAACTCAGCAAGTCAGACCAAAAGTGGGTATGTGTCACGTGCAACACGGACGCAGTAGTCTTGCTGAGTAACATCATTGTCCTACTGACAGGTCTTCGAAACAAGCTGTCAGTTAACTTGGAATACGACAGTAAAAAAACCGATATACAAACAAGAGCGCGCAACGGACTCAAAAATAGGGATGTCGATAGGTATGTCATCGATGGAGCATCCATCAACACTAACGACGACGTGTCGAGGCTCAGTACCATCATTACGTCGACGGTACTAGACTCCCTAGGCAAACTCGGGTCTCCCAGCTCAGGGTCGCTGAACACAACAGTGGTTCCCAAAAACCCTGCAGGCGATTCGACCCACGTTAAGAGAGCCCAAAAGAACCAGGCATCACCGCCTAAGCCGAGCAACCCAAGTGTTGCTGCACGGAAAATAACTGGTGATTTAGTCGCACAGTCTACCCCCAAGACTGTTCGTCCGGTCAATAAAGAGCCCAAGATTCATAAACGCACACTGACCTCCAAAAAACAAGTTATTAAACCTGAACCCATCGTGAAACCTGGTAAATTAACAACAGTTCGTGACGATTCTCTCATTATCATGAACCTCGTCGACAATCCTGACCTTCCTCTCAGTCTGCAGGATAAAAACGACAGGATGCTGTGGGGTGAATTGAACAAAAAGCTCGAACTTCCTAGAATAGAGCCTTTGACGGTCACCCGGCTCACTCGAGGAAAGGATTCTAAGCATCTAAATCACCCGAGGCTTCTCCGAGTAACACTTAAGAATGCTACCGACGTAGAGGACGTCTTGCTAGCAAGTCACTTACTGAAATCAGATGGTAACGTAAGAATATTGCCCGACATACCGTACTCTGAGCGCAATATCATACGAAACGTCCCTAAAGAATCTCGCGAGAAGTTCTTCCGCGGAAGAAACATAATTGTCCAAGGTATACCGGAAAATGCAGACCCTACTCAATCAAATTCTGACATCAGGGAATGGAAATTCATCAAACAGTCCTTGAGGCTCAAACACATACTGACTCAGCATGTGACGAGACTAGCCAAGAAGGACGGTGATCCTAGACCTCGTCTGATGAAGATAACCTTCCCATCTTCTCACATGGCGGCTGCAGTTCTGGAAGCATTTCGTGCCAACAGACGTCGATTGCCACCTGGAATCCACATGCACCCGGATAGGCCATACGAAGTCAGGACCAAGAACAAAGGCAAGTTGGAGCTGACCATTCCACTTGTGGACTGTCTAAACGATAAAAAAAACGTGTAAAGGACAGGGCCTACCACCTCGGCAAACCTCATATAGGTGGGCTACCTGTCCATTCACATAAGGTTCATACAGAAAAACAGGACGAAGCTCATGCGTTCCAAATTGAAAGCATAAACTGCTTATATACGAACGCCGCGAGTTTACCAAACAAACTGGATGAACTACGTGAACTTAGCGACGCTAACAAGGCCCATCTGATAGGAATATCTGAAACCTGGACATCTTCTCAGTTCTCGGATCAAGAGTTAGCATTGCCTGGGATGACTTTGTTCCGCAACGACAGAAAAATAGGAATTGGGGGCGGAGTAGCCATATACATAAGCTCTTGCTTGGAGGTGCACCAGGTTCACAACCTCGAGTTTAACAATCTTGAGGAATCCATATGGTGCTCTGTAAGGTTGTCTAGTACTTCCAGGTGTCTAGTCGGAGTCATTTACAGGAAGCCAACTGCCGACACCGAGTACGATAGTCGTATGCTGGAAGGACTATCCCGCTCTATCCGTCTCGGTTTCACACACATCCTGATTCTAGGGGACTTTAATCTCCCTAGAGTCAACTTCGCGGAACACACGTACACTGGAGGCGACAACTCAACTGAAGCTCGGTTCTTCAACCTCATCGATAACTTGGGCTTATATGAAAATGTGAGGTCGGCAACTCGTTGGAGAAACAGTCAGACACCATCGCGCTTAGACTGTGTATTCACTAACGAAGAATTCCTAGTCGACAACCTCTCAATCCTGGCTCCTCTGGGAAAAAGCGATCATGCCGTCATAGCCTTCAGTTTTGTCATCAAAACTAAGCTAAGGTATCCCAACAATAATTTGCGTTGGAATTTTAAACGGCTGAATGTGCCAGCTCTACATGACTATCTACAACAGGTGGCTTGGGATGTTCACCCTCAAATCGATGTGGATGGTCATTGGGACTTCTTGCTGCACACGCTCTTACGTGCTACAAACCATTCAGTTCCTCAAACGGTTCCCAAAAGCTTCAAGCCACCTACAGTAATCAAGAACCGTACCCTTCGCCTCCTAAGCCGCAAACGGCACTGTTGGGCGGAATACAAACGAACTAATAACGATGGAGCGTATAGGCAATACAAACATATCAGGAACACATGCACGAAGGCTATAAGAGAAGACAGGCTTCAGTACCAAACAAAGCTTATGGACAAATTCGCCTCTAACCCTAGAAGCCTATTCCGTTATGCAGCCTCTCTTCGTCAAGCCAAAACAGGAGTTTCTCAACTGCTAGGTCTTAACGGCCCGACCAACAACGATGGCGACGCCGCTAACCTTCTGGCGGCCCATTACTCTCAAACATTTCAACCGGCTGATATCAACTTTATTGACGACAGTTTCATCTGCAATTCCACAGGACTTTCTGAAGTGGACCTAAGCGCTGACTTGGTGTTCCGGAAATTGCAGCACTTAAGACTTGACACTTCTCCTGGCCCGGATATGGTTCATCCTGCCATACTGAGGGAGGCAGCCTCAATCCTGGCAACGCCGCTTAGCGTGATGTTTTCACACTCGCTTAGCCGAGGCAAATTACCGGAAAATTGGAAGTTGGCTCACATCACACCAATTTTCAAAGGTGGTCGACGCAATGAACCTTCAAGTTACCGGCCGGTAGCTCTTCTGTCGTTACCTTCAAAACTCATGGAGTCCCTGATATGCGACGGTTTAAATGACTATCTACTGTCCTTAAATTTCTTCTCACCCCAACAGCATGGTTTCAGGAAGGGTTACTCTTGTATAACCAACCTGCTGACTGCGGTGGACAGATGGACAAGCATCCTCGATCGCAAGGGAAAGGTTGATGTCATTTACCTTGATTTCTCAAAAGCTTTTGATAAGGTTAACCACTTGTGTCTTATCAACAAGCTCAAACGACTAGGTATCAAACCACCTCTAATCGACTGGCTTACTTCATACCTAAAAAATCGACACTTTAAGGTTAGGGTTAATTTCACTTTATCTCAAGCTATGGAATGTCCTAGTGGGGTCCCCCAGGGCTCAGTACTAGGGCCTCTTCTCTTCTTGATTTACATAAATGATCTTCCTCAACAGGTAACGTCAGACTTATTACTTTTTGCCGACGACGTGAAACTTTGGAGAGAGATACGCAACCAAGACGATATACAGGCTCTTCAAGAGGATCTGACTCGACTTCATAGTTGGGCAGACGATAACGGACTTACCTTTAACACTTCTAAGTGTAAAGTAGTCCATCTGCGACATGTCGCAAACTACAGTTACAACTTAGGAAACTCCTCTCTAGTAGTATCCCAAGTCGAAAAAGATTTAGGAGTCCTGGTGCCCCATGACTTAAAGTCTTACGCTAACTGTGACAAAAATGCCTTCCGAGCAAACCTTGCACTGGTAACGTTGAGGCGCATTTTTGGTCAGTTTGACGGAAGAACTTTCCACACAATCTTCAATAGTTTCATCCGTCCCCATTTAGAGTACGGAAACATAGTACTCCCCCCTCACTCCAAAAGGATAAGGTCACTTTGGAGCGTATCCAACGGCGAGCCACGAAATCAGTTCGAGGACTCAAATCTAAGCCTTACGAAGAACGCCTCCGTTCACTAGACCTTTACCCACTAGAATATAGGCGTCTTAGAGGTGATTTATTAATGGCTTATAGTATTCTTAACACTTCTGGACATCCTCTTAAACACCTACTTAAGCTTAGTTCGAACAATAACCTAAGGGGTAACACCCAGAAACTGGAAACACAACATAGCAAGACGGAATGTAGACACAACTTCTACTCCTTAAGAGTTGTCAAAAGCTGGAATTCGCTGCCGGCCGAGCTAGTCCAAGCGACTTCTCAGGAGTCCTTCAAGAGGCAACTTGACCTATTCTTAAGGACCAAGGACAGCATCGCACTATGATTTACCAATTTCTTTTCCTCTTTTATTGTTAACATACCTAGGTTCCTGCCTGGAGGATTTGGTGATCCCCTGCTACTAGACACGGAAGCCTGTTAAGCGAAAGCTTCTTCTATTCCGTCCACAACCATTTGAACCATTTGAACTTTTCAACACAATGAAATATCTGAAACTTTATTAACTAACCATGTCAACTAGATGCGTTGAATAACTCGTTTTGAAGATATCTTAAAGATAGAATATTTTGAGCAGATGAATTCAGAATAGAGACACTACCTTTGATATAGTGGAGAACTACCTTTAAGTCGTTTGTTTGTCCACTTCAACTTGAATATTTATGCATGAACTTCATGTGGTGGCACGATTTCAAAATGCATGTTTGGAAGCTACTCTGAAGATATGAAGTATGCTTCTCGGTATTCTCTTTACATACCAAGTATGGATCTTCACCTGCATTTTTGAAGCTTCAGCTGGTAATTCTTCATTTCTACAGTTATATCACTGCGAAATTTTAGATTGGGAATTGTCATGCTATAACGAGTCTCTGCATATACATTGTTGCTCTGAAAAAACAATAATTATTCATGAAGCTCACTTTGGTTATTTTCGTGAGATTCTACTTATATCGAACTCAGCCGATCGGTGTCGTATACAGAATTCTCGAGATTGTTGGGTCGATGTGACTGCCGATATATCTAGAAGATGTTCTGGTCATTCTGTATGTAAAAATTCCGTTCATTATTCATCTGACTTGTCTGCTGATTTGTTGGCGAGAGAATGTTCTTTCATAATCGACAATGCAGCTGAGCCAACTTTGTTCGTAGGGTATGACTGTATTTCAACAAGTAAGTTTAGTGATGTTTTCAGTTGTTCTTAACACTTGCAACCAATCTTTTTGGCTTATATGTGATAATACGGGTATCTGTCAATATGATCAACCAAAACTTGGTTTAAGCAGTATCGTCTATAGCTAGAATGCTTCATATCCTTCTTGTTGGTCCTCTGATTTTCTGCTTACAATTAGTTTTATTAGAAAAACTGAACTCATTCATATCTTATTCTATGCATGTTATTTTTTTTCGAAATTCGTTCATTATTTAAACTATGATAGATGTATGCAGTTACTAGTTTTTATCATAAACATGACGGATATAAAGGACGAATTCATTTGGCTAGAAGGTTGTAGGAGCCGTAGTTAGAAGCCCAACGGAGTTGGTAAGATTTTTGGTGAGACTAGTTTACGGACGACTTTTTAGAGACTCTGGAGTGACCTTGACAGTGAACAACTAATTAAGGCTAAATGAGAATTATAAAGCAGTTAGAATTCTCATTTACAGTCGATAGTTAGGGTTTAAAATTAGATTAAGGGTTTTCATCGCGAACTGACATACGCTATAATGCTCAAACTCCATTTAACCAAATGCATGAATGAGTTCCGCGCCCAAATTCGTGACTCTTTATCTTATATCTGATTGCTTTGTCCATAAATTATAGTCTCGCCAGATTTGTAATCCATTAATCGACGAAACCATAATTTATGAACGAACCAATCAAATATAAAATAACGAGTCGCGAGTTTGGGCCCAAAATTCATCCATACATTTGGCTAAATAGAGTTTTGGCATTATAGCTGATGTCGGTTCGTGATGAAAACCCTAAATCTAATTTCTCACCCTAATCACCAACTGTAAATGAGAATTCTAACTGCTTCATAACCCTCATTTAGTCCTAGTCAGTAGGTGTCCACTCTCAAGGTCCCTTCAGCGTCTCTCGAAGGTCTTCCATAAATTATAGTCTCACCCATTAATCTTTTCCTAGTCTTTTTGCTTTCTTCAGTTACTGTGAGACACATAAAGAACTTACTTGGGTTTTTGTATCTATGGCGGGTGATCTTTTCTGCAACGCAACCATGTAAACATAATGTATCGCACACTGTCATTTGTGCGTTCAAGTAATCACAGATTTTGTAATTTCATAATGTATTTTTAATTAAACAACTAGATTTTGTAGTTAATTTTGCTTTGTTTTTAATTTTTATTCGCCACGTCCGATTGCGTTACACTGTACGTCCATTGCACGCTAGGATGATATCTCAAGTCATAGTGAGTTTATTCACATAGTTGATTGTTTCCAGGTAGACTGTCAATGCATGATTTTACTGAAGAAAGGTTTGTTGTACTGTAAACTATGTTTCTATGAACAACTGCCTGTTGTCTTCAGTATGAAAGCAGTATATATGTATCCTTCTTTTTTTCTTAGGTAAGTTCAACTGGCCTATATTTCGTGTTTTGGTTTTATCGGCTTAATTATGTCCATTTAACTACTTTGAGCAACATGTCTTTGGAAGTGAAACAATAAGTATGACACTTGTTTAGTTTAGTGTTCTTGGTTGTCGTATAATTCAGTTTAGTTGAAAGAATTATGATATACTTAAGTATAGTGCTTGAAGCCTGTAACGAAACAGATCAGTTTAGTAAGTAGAGTTGCCTGTTTCTAATGTGTATACGGATTCAGATCAGTCTGATTAAAAATAGGAAAAAACGTGCTTTTGATGCTGTTGCTGTCATACATTATAAGATAGCGATAAGTATGTTTGGTGTTTATTTCTAAGCTGTACATCTATCACTGACCATATTTCATGATCACTGTCATTAAACAATTTTCCCCAGCAATAACTTTGGTAGCGAGATAGCTAAGTGTCTGAGCTTTTAGTTGCCCGCAAAACAGCAGTATACAATCTTAGAAGATGAGTGGTCTGTGTCTCGATTAAATGCAGCTGGCTGTGGACAAATGTTAAGAATCTTTTTAACAACTGGGACTTTTAGTTCATCATAAACTTACTCTGCTCGTATGATTTCCTGTTAACCTAGACTCAGATGCATGGGAATACTTAAATGGGAGCAAAATAATAAAAGCATTGCAATACGGTACTAAGCCCATGTTATGCTTTGCGCAAGTAATAGTAGCTGACCTTATCTAATATTCATGAACTCAAGTTAAATCACAACTGCATAAATTCTTTGCTAAAAAACATGTGATTTGGTTATTTATATATTCCACATTTCTGACTAAATTCATCAATATTTTTTCATTTAGAATGCAACAGGAGTGAGCCTTCACAGACCCTAAAAACTGTTTCGCCCTTGGAACTATGGTCCTATGGAACTGTTTACGGGAGATCCAACGAACAGCAGATTATAAAAAGGATGCTGGACGTCCATTTTAGTCTCACAACCACTTCCAGTATTTTTTGACTTCTTTTACTCTTTCGTTTGGAAAAAAACAAAATCTGCAGCTTAACATTACCAATACAACTTTTAAACGGGGACTTGGTTTAAACCTTTGTTTGATATTCGATTCTTAATGAAAGTTCTTGAATAAATTTTTAAATCTAATGCTACTTTGTTTTATCTACTTAATCGTTGCAAGAAACTTGTGATAAGCGAGCCTCTCAGCACCTAGTTCATGTGTTCAAATGGTTGTGGACTGAATAGAAGAAGCTTTCGCTTAACAGGCTTCCGTGTCTATTAGCAGGGGATCACCAATACCTCAAGGCAGGAAACTAGGTATGTTAACAATAAAAAAGGAAAAAGAAATTGGTAAGTCATAGTATCATACTATACTTAGTCCTTAAGAATAAATCCAGTTGGCTCCTAAAGGACTCCTGGGAAGTCGCTTGGACTAGCTCGGCCGGCAGCGGATTCCAGCATTTGACAACTCTTAAGGAGTAGAAGTTGCGTCTGCAGTTCGTTCTGCTATGTTGTGTAGCTGGTTTCTGGGACTAAGCTTAAGTAGGTGTTTTAGGGGATGTCCAGAAGTGTTAAGGTTATTGTAAGCCATTAGGTCACCTCTAAGACGTCTATACTCTAATGAGTAGAGGTTAAGTGATTGGAGGCGATTTTCATAAGGTGATTTCGTGCATATCTTCGTCATTTTCTTGCGAGACTTACATACTCGGGTCCTCTCATAACTTATTCTAACCACCATGGGTTGTCACGCCAGCTGATGGATGGACACGCGTTACACATCCTAACATACTTCTTATCTTATAGCTTCTAATTCAAATGACAAGCAAGCAATGCCCCTACCCGCACTAATGGAACACTAGTAACTAAAATGCACCCCGTATGGTACCTTACACTGGTTTACGCACTCGCTGAGCTCTTTAGTGAGAATATTAATACGGTCCTGCTGAAAATTCCATGAAACCCCATACCTCCATCAAAACAAATAAGTCTGTATTTGCAGTATATAGCAATTTTATTATTCAAAAGTAAGATATAACAGTTAGAATTGGAGTGAAATGGCAGTATACAGCAGATGCACGTGGTACATGTCTTCATCGATCAACTGAAATAGAGAATACGGATATTAGCTTAACAGGCTTATTTAGAAAGACTAGTGTCTAATTTGAACTTACTGCGTGAGAAAGTTATACTGGAACTACGAATGTTGTAGAAATAGAGCTTCTCGGGGCGTACGAAGCACTCAGACTGTAAGACAGTTGTCCAAAAATAATTCGAATATGATGGTGAAAATTTGCAGGTACTTCTCATCGTAAGGGTGAACATATTAGGTACCAGTTGACATCATACCGTAAGAAAACACAAATTTGCGAGTGGTGAAATATGATTTATAAAAAGTGAGCTTAATAACAGTTAATTACCTTTTTACTCCCTGATCATGACCCTTCGGCTTCCTTTTATGGCTAAAACAGCAAACATACACTCGACACTGGTAGCAGATTTCCGCCTTTCAATGTTAAGCTTGCTTTAACGCATTGAGTACAACCCCTCTATTACTGTTATATGGCATATTTTTCATAACAAACCCCCTGCAATAGATTGGTGGCATCTGTGACTTCACCTATAGTTGTCGGAAGTCTGGGTCCTTTCGAAATCAGTACCGATATACCCTACTGCTGGGCACTCTGTATTAGTTTGACTCGGGTGGGATAGTGTTGTCCATAATACTGAAGAAAATTAAAAAATGCAGATTGTTTCCTTTCATTTTGCCGATAACATCATAAAGGACAGTTAGGAACGAACATGCGAACAGTTAGAGTCACAGGCGGCAGCAACAATTATCTTAGCTAAATAAAAACGAACTTCGGCTTCGGATATCTAGAAAACAAGGTAAAACATAACCGATTGTCGTTTAAAAACGTAAGGTCTTATGTTAGTACTAGCCAGCTTAGCTGAATAAATACAGTGACTTCATTAGCAGCAGGTAAAACCCAGAAAACAAAGCAAAATCAGGAAACATTTTGCTTCAACGTTCAGAGTATTACACTAACTTCTGGATTTTAGCACACTGAAACACCAAATTCTGTAGCTACACAAAAGAAATAGCGGAAAAAACACAGAACGAAGAAAGTCGGCCGACATTTTATAACACAAGACTAGCCAGATTGCCCGAAGAAATACAATGACTTGAGTAGAAGCAGCGAAAACCCAGAAAACATCGCTGATTCGAAATAAACTTCACACCAACATATAGAACATTACACTATCTGCAGCATTTTAGCACACTGACATTAAATTACATATCTACACAAAAGAAATAGCTGAAAGAAGCACAGAACGAACAAAGCCGACCGCCATTGCTTACAATGATGGCGCATGTAATAATTCCCGCCTCATTCTGATTGGTTGCTAAGCTGAAGGGCACATTTACGAAATTGAGTTGCGTTTAATTGCAGCCATCTATGGCTATTATTTTTAACTTTTTACCTAGTACCACTTCGTAGCATGTGATTATAAACGTCTCTGTGTAAACAGATTATTTCGTTCATAATCAAGTGGTTTTTGTAAATTATTCAGTTTTGTAGGCATTGCGATTCCTTTCATAATGTTTGCAAATAAGTCTTTAACAAGTTTTCTATTTATACCATCACACCATGTTTATTAATAAAATTGTCATCAGAAGGAACGTTTTAATTCGCCGTTAAAACTCAATTTCGTGAACTGAGCGCTTGATACAAAGATTTTTTTCCATCCATTTGAAATGAAAACAAGTCCAGAACTTGTGTGGTAGCCACCAGTAGTTATGAATTACTAAAAATAACAGCAATAATGAATAATAATTAACTGTCTCAATGGTAAAGTTTCATCTTGTTTCCAGGGTATAACTCAGAATATTGATATCTATCTATCCATTGGTGAAGTCCGCTGAAAAGTGACAATTTTTATTTGGTTAAACACATAAACATTGGTACAAGAAGGCAACCGGTAAATATGTGCTACACAGATCATTCTATTAGTGTGAGGGCTAGAATACCGATCGAGCACCCGAACCGAAACAGGTGGCTTTCTAAGCGTGCCACTCTTCGCACCTCTGACCTACGGATCTGACCCACAAGACAGTGGATCAACGTTATTAGATGCAGTCACATGATATCCGGTGGCCAACAACATGTTCATACGCCCTTTGTTCCCTCAGGTTCCTAGAGCCCATGTGCACCATCGACTTGGAATCAGGGTTTTTCAACTTCTCTAGGTCGATGTGTATCCACCAACCCGGTTAAAGCTCCGGACATTTGCTTATTAACAGTGTTTAAGCACTGGATATTTCCTCTTTAAAACGTGGTTAACTTTAAAGTTGAACAGCGTAAGGACCTGTATAAATCAAACTTTGAGAACTTGAATTCGCTAGTGTCCGTTTTGTAGAATAGTTATTTTTGTGCACTAAATGTTTGGAACAACACATATAAGCGAACAATTGTTTCCAATTAGATCGTCGTCAGGTTTTACTCTAATATACATGAATATTTATACGAAAATGTAAACCAATAAAAGCAATATGAGTCAATAATCACAATGAAATGTCATACACGTACTTCTTAATGAAAGCACTGGAGTAGCCGATCTCGGTCAGTGAGTTGTTGGTAAATTCAAGCTCCTGACTTAGAGTATCTACTGTACAGATCTTTTTTGCTCTGCTAGTGAGACATCTGAAACTTCAGAAGTGAGTATATTGGCATGAAAAGGAGTTTCTTCTATACACGCTTCTACTTAATGTGCCGTCACTTCGTCTGCTTAGTGTGATGTCAAGGAAGTTCAGCTTCTTATCATGCTCGCTTTCACCAGTGAAAGTGATCTCTGGGTGAACACTGTTGAATTGGTCTAGGAGTTCCTCCTTACTGGTGTTTTGATCAACGATAATGAACGTGTCGTTATAACTTAACTAACTAGTGATATTTTTTTAAAATTTTATTATTATCATTATTTATTTTATTCGATTTCGTTATCATTAACCTTATTTCCACATCCATTATTTGTTTGTAATTTTCCGCCTCTTTGTATTCTTGACTATCTAATTATCTACACACGTTTTATTACGTAATGATTTTGATGTTTTGTGATTACTATTCCTAGTCTATTTACCCATGTTCGA